AAGCTGGTGACTCTCAGGCCTTTAAACTGTTCTAGGGGCTAAAAGGAATTTTTTTTTCTCCTTCACTCCCTGTTCCCCAACATTTTCTTGCTCAGCTAATTGGCCCCAGCTGGGAACAGACCTGGGCAACAGAAACGGGGGCCAGGGTATGGCAGGCTCCGCAGGCCAGCCCAGGCCGGGAGGGGAATGTGACTGTTTATTTGGAATGGCTGTGTCCCGCCTCCAAGGGAGTTCAAGCGGTCAGATGTGTCCAAGTCTATTAGTGAAATCTGACAGGGATGTCACTGTGTTTGGAAAAAGGGCTATGGCCCGCCATATCCCCATGCCCAATAGGCACTGACCACCAATCACGGCTGGTAGAGGGCAGGGGTGAGAGGAGGTCAAGAGTTCTGGACCTCAGGCTCTGCTGAAATGGGCTCTCATACATGCCAAAGCCCAGGCAAGGCCTCAGCAGAGCACAGCAGCATGGTCACAGAGCTGCCATGGGGACTGTAGGCCCTGCCCTGAAGCAGAGGCACCACTACCTGCCCAGGCGTCTCCTCTGGGACTCCTGTGGCATCAGGGCACAAGGCCAGGGCTGGGTCTTTAGAGCTGGATGAATGACTTCAAGTCCCAGCTCTGCTGTCCAGTTGCTTAAGGTCCTGGGTCTAGGTTCTTTCACTTGTGAGATGGGCATGCTAGGAAAGAAAGGAATGGGCAGCGCTGACCATCAGTATGCAACAGTTCTGTCATGTCACCCCCAGCAGCCCAAGATGGTGAGCAGGAGTATTGATTCCTTGCAAGGAAGCCAAAGCTCAGAGTTAAGGGACTGGCCAGGATCAGAAAGGACTTAAGTCTTTTTCTGATTTCTGTCCTTTCCATGCAAAATTCGTACATTTCCTAGGGCTGCCATAACAAATTACCACAAATTTGATATCATAAAACAACAAAATATATCTTCTCTCACAGTTCTGGAGGCCAGAAGTCCAAATCAACATGTCAGCAGGGCTGGTTCCCATGGAGGCACTGAGGCAGACTCATCTCCATGCTTCTCTCCTGGCTTCTGGGGGCTGCCGGCAACCATGGGCACTCCTTGGCTTAGAACAACACAGCTCTAATCTCTGCCTTGGTCTTTACATAGATTTCTCTCTATGACTCTCCACGTCTTCTCCTTGTCTGTCTCTTATAAGGACACTGGTCATTGGACTTACGGCCCACCCTATTCTAGGATGATCTCTTCTTAAGAGCCTTACCTTGATTACATCTGCAAGACCCTTCTTCCAAAAAGGTCATATTCTGAGGTTCTGGGTAGACATATTTTTGGGGACTACAATGTAACCCACTGTAGTCTACCCTCTGGTACCCAAAATTTACATCCATCCCGCATGCAAAATACATTCACCTCTTCCAACGTCCCCCAAACTCTCAGCCCATTAAATCATTAAGTCCAAAATCTCATCTAAATTATCATCAGCTCAAAAGTTCCTGATCTCATCATGTAAGTCACCTAATCAGGTAGGAGTGAGACTCTAGATATGGTTTATCCTGGGGCAAAATGCCTCTCCATCTGTCAACCTAGAAAACAAGTTACCTACTTCCAACATTCCAAAAGGGAGATGGTGGAAAAACTACAAGGGTCATTAATCCCAAGCAAGTTTAAAACACAGCAGGACAAATTCCATGAGGTTTCAGTATCTGAGACTGGCCTTCTGTGGCCACTCCATTAGCCTCTGCTTCTGTGTATGGCCCTGCCCTCAGAGCCATTCTTTCTTTTTTAGTTTTTGAAGGATAATATGTGTTTGTAGCTGAGTTGTTCTATCAGTGTGTTTCTTGCCTGTAGAATCCCAGAAGTCTGACAGCTTTTTATTCATTTGTCAAGTCTCTGTCCCTTTCAGTCCAGTGTTCTTGCTGGTATAAGATTCTCAAAATCCTTGAAGGCCTCTTATATACATCAAGGGGTCCATGCCATTAGCCAAGAGGGCTCTCCGCATATCCTTTCTATAGAAGTCTGTCTCTATTTCTGGCTGCCGCTAACTTGCTTGATTGGATCTGTGTGTCACACACCTCCTCTCTTCCGCAGAAGGTTGTCCAGGCTCACCTTTGGCCTTCTCTCCAAGACATGCTTTCTTAGCAGTGAATTTCCTAACCTGAACATCCTTTGCAATCCAGATGGACCAAGAATCTCCCAAATCATCAAGTGCTTGTTCCTGTATGCTAACAGTTTCTTCCTCAATTGATTCATTTCTCCTCATGTTTTACTATAAACATCAATGGAGAAACAAGGTAGCATCTTCCATGCTTTGCTTAGAAATCTCCTTAATTAAATGTCTGAGTACATTGCTTACAAGTTCTGCTTTTCCTGACTAGTAAATTAAATCAGGCAGTAGACACCAAAAGTGTTAAAAAGTAGGTGGGGAAAAACAGGTGCACAAAAGCAAAAGGAGAATTAAATTTATATCTGCCAAGTACCTGCCATTTGCCCAAGTACTGAAGATCAGTAACTGGCATCCTGATAGGCAAGTTCTACCTTTATAAGGACAAAGAGGGTGGCCAAATAGCTTAGAACAGGACCCCACTTGAACATTCCTGCCTCCTTACCACTGCTGACTAGCTCTGCCTCAGCCCTTCTCCATGCCCTTGGCCGTAACATTGCAGCCACTGACTCTTATCAAAAACCTTTTTCTCCCTCTAGAATCTCAGGTACCCACAATTCAGTCTACCCCACTTCCCAGGAGCCCTCTTCTGACACCTCTTTCATACTCCCAGCTCCTCTCCCAAGCTGCAAGCACGTCTTCTCCCAGAGTAGAAGGGATACCAGTCCAGGGTGGACGCCAGAGGTCTGACTTAGAGGGCACAGAGACTGGAAAGAAATTTAGTACTGATTCATTTTCTGTTCTAGCGAAGAATCTGCAAACAGTCACAAAAGTAATCTTCATTTCAGTAAATATAAACTAAGTCTACTTTTATAATTTTTTGCTTTATTTTTTAAGGTTTGCATTTTCAGTCCCTGGCTTAAACTAGATTTTATTCAAGTAGTCTTTTTCTGGGACCAATGGTCTTCAGAGGAGGCTATGACAGTAGGTAGAGGAGGGAACTGTGACTCACAGTGTCCAGCTCTGGCTAGATTCCAGGGCTCCCTAGATATGGTGTGGCCCTGCCTTCTGACTCCCCCCACTTGATCCAAGGAGCCCTGGAACCTGGCCGGAGTTGAGTCCTATCTTTTGTTTGGTCCTTTCTGGTCAGGAGACTCTTCCTTAATACCCCCAGCCCCTGTAGGAGGAAGTAGGAGCCACACTGCTGTAAAATGAGCTGGGGGTTGAAACCTGAAGTTGCCTTCACTTGGGGGAACACTGTTCATGCCTGCCTTCCATGAAATGCCCCTTCTCTATACCCAACCATGCTGCTCTGGACCAGGGAGGGCATACACAAAGCATGGGTGCCAGCAGGGCCCCTCTCTACTTCCCGTACTCAGGCTAGGTGCTGCTATCGTGGTCCTCTCACCCAGTGAGTGACATGGTTCATTGTGTCAATTTAGCTGGGCCACAGTGTTCCAATTTTATTCCTGGTGTTTCTATGAAAGTGTTTTTAGATGAGATTAACAGTTAAATTGGTGGGTGTTGAGTAAAGCAGATGACCCCCATAATGTAGGTGGGCTTCATCCAGTTGGTTGAAGGCCTTAAGAGCAAAAGGATTAACCTCCCCAGAGAAGAGGAGATTCTGCCAGCAAATGGCCTTCAAGCTGTAATTCTTCCCTAGGCCTCAATTCTGCCAGTCTACCCTGTAGATTTTGGACTTGCCAGGTTTTATAATAGTATAAGCCAATTCCTTAAAACACATATCTATTTATCTATCTGCATCAAATAGTGGGTGCATTAGTTGGTGTTCTCCAGCAAAACAAAATCAATAGGAGATACAGATATCTAAATATTTACATCTATGTATCTTTACCTGTGTATCTACAGATACCTAGATATCGGTATCTCCCATTGGCTTTGTTTCTCTGGAGCACCCTAACCAATATACCTAGTGAGCCAGATAACCTTAAAATGCCTCAACACAGCCTCCAGGTAGCCATTCCCAATTAGCATGCAAACTGAAATCATGCACATTCAAGCCTCTCTAGCAGCTAGCTGAGTCCACAGGGCTGAGACCCTTGACTTCCCTGCACTGCAGGCTCTTTAAGGATTAGAGAACTGCCCCGGATCCCAGCATTCCTGGCAAGGTCTCACAGGAGTTCTAACTAGCCTGTGTTCCCCACCTTTATTCTTGTTGAAGGGGAGGGCAGTCAGAGAGGCTGTAAGTTACTCTTGTCCCATAAAGTAAAGCTATTAAAAATGCCTTCTGAATAAGGGGAATATCAAGGCACTAGACACATTTTAAATCAGAGCCAAGCCATTGTAGAAGGAAGGGTGATGGGGAGGCATCTGCCACTCATCCTCCTCACAGGTCTTCAGAAGGATAGCGCAGCATTTGCCGATGGCCATCAGGAGTGCAAAACTGACCTGGATTTCTTCCAGATTCTATGACTCTGAGCAACACAAGATTCACATCGTGCTTAATTTGAAATTATTGTGGTTAAGAAAAAGGTACCCAGGAATAACTCCACACATACTTGCCACTCTGACACACAGCTTTGGGGAAGAAAGGGAAGTTTGCCCTCCAGCAGCCGCACTTGTTGACCATGTGATCTCAAGCCCACCTCACCTTCTGGAGCCTCAGTTTCTTTATGTACACAGACCACCTACTTGGGAACACCTTCTTGTGGCACATCATAGGCCTTCAATAAACAGGTGTTATGAGAATTAGGGAGAGCAGCAGTCCTAGAATCAGAGGTGAGAGACTTGGAGCCAGGTGGGGCCAGGCAGCCAGAGGGTGGGAGCACAGGAGGGGAGATGGGGTGGAGCAGGTATTGGGAGTAACAGGGGAGGCACAGCAGGCTCAGCAGCTGAACAGGCAAAGGGATGGCCCCCCTCCCTTGCTGCCAGGGAGGAGGCCAGAAGGGAGGACAAGGTAAGACTGACCTTGAGGGCAGGAATCTCCACACTATCACCGAGGCTGATGGAGCCTGAGAGGATGGTCCCTGTCATCACAGTGCCTTGGCCTTTGATGGAGAAACAGTGGTCCACAGACATGAGGAACGGTCCCGAGGGGTCTCTCGTTGGGATGGAAATCTGGGACGTCAGGAGCTAGAAAAGAGAAACTGGTGCCACAGTCTGTGGGGTGAAGAGCCAGATGGGGCAGGGCAGAGGAAGGCAGAGGGTGTGGCTGACCAGCAGTTCATCAAGGCTGCCAAGGTGGACTCAGCTTAGAGGCCCATGCCCTGGAAAGGTGGCCTGGAGATCAAAACCACCAACTCCCTGGCTGCATTCCAAGCTTCTGACATGCTCTCAGCAATTTCCGCTCAGTCTGAAAAAAAGACACCTGGAGAAGCCTCTTCTGTCCTCTCCTGTGGGACAACTACAGTGATCTGTCCTGCCAGGCCCTCCATGCTGCAGCAGAGTAGCCACTAAAGGACACCCTGTCCTATTGCTCCCTGGCCTCATGCGTTTCCCCAGCCTCCTGATGCCTTCAGAATTTAAGACTCTTCATCACCTAGCCCCTAGGTAACTTTAAGGCCTCATCTTCCACCACTCCCTGACTTATGTCAAAAGCCAGCCGCTGGCAGGCCTAAAGTTTTACCAGCTGGCTCAGCCTCACCTATCCTCGCCAGCAATACCTACTCTGGACAGGCTTCTCTGTATGGTCACATTTTCCCTGCCCCCATCACCACAGCTAACACTCTACTGTGATCTTCTCTCTATTGTCTCCCCCATAGGGTTGTGAGGGCTAGGTATCTCCAGTAGCTGGCACCGTGCCTATGAGAATGACAAGTGAAAGAAGAAACAAAGGAGATATAGGGAAAGGGAGGAGGAAAGGGTTGTTTCCAGGGGCAACTGCCTGTGTTGGTATGGGCAGGCCAGCTGTGTGGGTCCCAGGACAAGAGGTGTGAAGAGTGATGCAGAGCCTTTCTTCCCTGCCAGGGCAACCCCCTGCCATTTCTCCAAGTCCCAGCAGAGGCCGAGTGTGGGTCTCCTGTCTGCCAAAGGCCAGCACCACCCCACGCAGCCTGAGGCTCTTGCCTTACTTCTCTGCAGACTCTGCATGCCTCAGCCTCACCAGCTGATTCTCCTCATGCCACCTGTGTGCCAGGAGATGCTGTCAGGGCTCATCACCATAAACAAATGAAAACAAAGACGAGGATTCCTTGTGTTTGCTACTTTTTCATTTCATAACGGAAGACTTGGTTGTCAAAAAAGTATTCAGTGGTGAATGTTCCAAAGTCTTAATCTTGTGATAACAATTCTTTTGGAAAAAGACTAGAGATTCAAAACAGGATTGGTCTGAGATTTATGCAGAGGCTTCTTAAAGGAATATACAAACATCTTTCATAGCAGCATTTTTGTAGATTTTGCTTTAACAAAAACAAATGTCCCAGGCTCCCAGACAAGTGCTCTCAGGAGCCTGATGAAAAAGTAAAAGCCTCACCCAGCAAACATTTGTTTTGCTAAGCTGACAAGGTCAGCACGTGTAACTCACAGAAATGGTGGCAATGCATGTACATGGTTACATCTCATCTTGGCTCTGCAGAGCCAGGTATAGGTGGACTGCAAAGCTGACCCCAACAATTGACCTGGGTTTGAATCCTAGCTCCACTATGTACTTGCTGTGAGACTTGGGTCAAGTTATTGAATCTCTTTGAACCTCAGACTCTTCCTTGGTAGATGGGGATAAATAATTTCAGACTCCTGAGTTTTTGTGAAGGTCAATAATCCTGTATGCAAAGAACTTAGTACAGTGCCTGGCCTGTAGACAACAATATCACTGTAATAGTAAGCACTGACATGGCACTGTTCCAAGCACATTATACATATTAACTCATTTAACCCTCATAACAACTCCATGAAGTATGTGCTATTATCTTCCAAGTGAGGGAATTGAGGCAAGACAGAGTAGATCATTTGCCTGCAGTCAGAGAGAGTGGTGGTGGAGCCAGCACTAGAACCGCAGTCTAGCCCCAGAGCCATGCATGTTGCCACTCCACCCCTCTGAGCTGTCCTGAGCACTCTGGAGGAACTCTGTGGCCCTATTCTCAGTGCTAACTTCCTTAGTGACAGCACCACCAGCACCCCCACACACCCTTCCTGATGGATAACTGGGCTCCCTCCCTGACTGCCAGCACAAGTTGGAAGAACAATCTGGGCCTCAGCCCCACAGCTTCCAAAAATAAGCCTCCCATCTTTGGTGGAGGCATCCAGGATGGAAGCTGTGTTGCCCCTGCTCCTGGGCCCATGTCCTTCACCCCTGCCTTGCTGGCCCCCAGCCCAGGTGGGGTACTGGAGGGGCTGATACAGTCTGAAGGACTGGAATGGATGCCACGGTGCCAGGGTTCCAGATGGGTGGGAGCTGCTTTGTCTCAGTGGAGGTATGACAAGAGAAAGGAAAAAGCAAGGCATAGCAAGGTGTGACGAGCTCTGCAGATTCTCTGGCTGGAGAGTGAGTCGGGCTTCGGCGAACCTTAGAAACCCTAGTTTGAGGGAGGTGGGGGAGTTGTGCTAAGGTGTGAGCAGAGAGATTAATGGTACCAACCAAGTCCTCTTGCTAGGGCTGCCTCTCTTTCTTTCCCAGGGGAGTGGGGGACACAAAGGGGCCTGCCTGAGCATGGCTGGGGCTAAAGGACAACCTGATTTCAAGCTGACAATACCTCAATGAGTTCTGGAATGCCCTGTGGAGCTTCAGTTTCAGGGGCCTCTGGTCCCCCTGGCTTGGCTGCCACGGGTATAATCGGTGCACCTCGAAACCTGAAATGAAAAATCAGTCACATCACAGTACAGAGATCAGCAACATGGACACAAAGCATGTCCAAGCAGCACCTGGCACAGTACCAAGTGTGAAGAGCATCCTCTCCTCCCCCCATCAACTGAGCCTAGAAGATAGCACCACTGTTCTCGCATGTGGCAGATGATGCAATGGAGGCCCCAAAGGGAAATGCCCTGCATTAGACATCAGAATTTTAAAGCACTCTCTTGATACTAAGCTCCACTTTCAGATCCCTCCCTAAGGAGGCAGCAGTGATCCTGGCCCCTAGGATTCTGAATAAAAGAATTCCTTGAAGAAGACCAATAAATACATCCCAGGCTTCGGAAGAGATACAAGAAATAATGGTGACCAAAAAGTCCCTGCAGACGTACCTGGAAGCACATTTCTACAATCCCAGTTTCTGATGTGGTGCCTAAGCTCTGATTCTTGCCTAAGCTCTACTGAGAAAGCCCCTGCATCTTTAAGAAGACATACTTATTCTGCGCGGACATTTATCTTTTTTATTTTTTTAAAAAAGGAACACTGTAAGGGGAAAAAAACAGAAGGAAAAAGAAAGTAAATAACCCCAAATCCCATCATTGTGGTATATTTTCTGCCAACCATGGTTTTTCCATGCTTTGCCAAGGGATTCTTTTATTTATATTTTGGTTATAGTATGCACACAATTTCATATCTTGTTAGTTTATTTACCATTATATCACAAAGAACTTTCTGTTGAATGAGAGCAACAATAACAACTTACATGGCTGAGCCATGCCTATAATATGAGGTTTAAATGAAAGCATCTACAACACATGATGGAACTGCCACCATCTTGTAGATGAGAAAATGAGGCTTAGAGAATCTAATTGATTTGCTCCAAGTTGTTGGCTATAAACCTCAGAGCCAAATTTGAACCTACCCCATCTGAGTCTGAAGCTAGGGCTCTCAGCCTCTTTGTCACACTTCTCCCTGCCTGACCTGTTCTTTCATTGTTGACACCCGCACAATGGCATGATCCAAAATTGTACATGCTTTCTCCCATAACTTATTCGTGATATTTCAAAATTTTCACTATTATAAATTATACTGTGATAAACATGTTAGCGGACATGAATGATTTTTTTTTTTTTTTTGCCTTGACTTAGGGATAAATTCATGGGGTGTAAATTTTTTTGCCTTGGCTTTGGGACAAATTCATGGGGTATTTCACTGAAAGATCAGCGAAATGATACAGCAAGGACATCTGAAAAGCCCTCTTCCATGGAAGCAAAGAACACTGGCAAAAATGATCAGAATCAACTTATTCAGAACTTGGCTTGAGCAAACTGTGGAGTGTTTATTCAAGAAGAGTCTCAATAAGACCAGGTGTGAGCTTTTGATGTTTTAACTTGCCTTCTTCCTATCTACCTCTCCCCAACTCTGCAGCAGTCTTGAAAACCAACACTTGTAATACTAGTGAAAACCAGGAGCCTTCCAGGCACTGAAAGGGGCAGAAAGGGTTTAAGTTCCTTCAAAGCCCTTCTCCCAGAGAACCATAATTATTTTCCTGTCTGGTGGTTCCCTGGAAGGCCCTACTCACAATGCTATCTTTATTTGACCTGTCTTGGACCTTGCTCAGTACAAATAGTGTTTTCCCTGGGGGAATTTGTTGAAAATAATCAGAGGTAACTGTTTAACAACACAGCAGCCTGATGGAAGCTGTGATGCTTAATAGCCAAAAACTTCCCAAATTTTGTGAAAAATATTAATCTACACTTTCAAGAATCTCAATAAACTCTAAGTAGGATAAACTCAAAGACACCCGGACCTGGCACATTACAATCTAACTGTTGAAGGCTAAAGACAAAGAGAATCTTGAAGCTATCAAGAAAGAAGTGACTTCATCATGTACAAGGAATCCATAATAATATTAGCAGCTGGTGTCTCAGAAGAAATCATGGAAACCAGAAGGTATCAGGATAATATATTCAAATAAGTGAAAGTTAAAAATAAAGAAAAAAAGAAAAAATCTGTCAACCAAGAATTTTATATGCAGTAAAAAGTATGTTACAAAAAATGAAGGGAAACATGGAATCACCACATGACCCAGCAATTCCACTCCTAGATACATATCCAAAAACAACAGAAAACAGATACTCAAATAAATATATATCCATGCATGTCCACTGTAGCACTATTCACAATAGCCAAAAAGTAGAAACATCTCAAATGTCCAACAATAGATGAATGGATACACAAACTGTGGTGTGTATATATACACAACAGAATATTATTCAGACATAAAAAGACATGAAGCATTCAATACTTACTTCAATGTGAATGAACCACAAAAACATTTTGCTAGGTGAAAGAAGTCAGATACAAAAGGTCACATATTGTGTAATTCCATTTATATAAAATATCAGAATAGGTAAGTCCATAAAGACAGAAAGCAGATTAGTAGTTCCCAGACTGGTGGGGCACAGAGAAGGAGGAGCAAAAGGCTTAATGAATATGGTTTCCTGTTGGTGTAATGAAAATGTTCTGGATTAGTGATGCTGGTTGTACAATTCTTTTCATATTGAAAGTATGAATTTCCTGGTATATGAATTATATCTCAATTATAAACAAAATAGATTGAAAGGTTTTCTACCTTTTCCACCACCACAATGAACATCTAAGATGCCTATTTCACTGTACATATAACAAAATAGTCTTTTTAAAATTATTTTTAATATATGCTTCATTTTAATTTCCATTTCCTTAATAAATAAGCCATACAATGTTGAACCACTTCCAACTGTTTACCCAAAGTATTTTCAGAAGACATTTCTGTAGTACTTCTAGTTCTCAAGTTTGTTTCCTCCAGGAAGAGCCACCCTTACCTTCCCCTGACACTGAGGCCTGCTCTAAGGGCTTCTCTGTATATAGTTTAGCATGCAACCCAGTGGGAGTGAGAGAAGGGGACAGGACCCTTTACCAAGCACCAACAGTACAAGCAATTGTGCTAGGAGCTTTCCATTCCCCATCTCCTCATCACATTCCTGTAAAATGGTGTTCTTCTTCCTCCCCTTATTTCATAGAAGAGCATCCTAAAAGCTTGGCCAGCTTTGGTAGCTTGTTCCAGGCCACAGGCTAATGAGTGGTGGGGCTGTGATTTAAAGCCAACTCTGAGTTTACTTTCCACTTGAGACTATCATGAGAACAATCCTCCATCAGCCTGGGTTAGAGGCAAGGGCGTGTGTCTCTTCTCAAATCCATATAAGAATTTGGAAAGTAGCTGATCTTCAAAGATCAGGGAACAGCCCTCTCAAGGGTTTTGTTAATCTGATATAGACTTATATATATGTAATTTTAGTTCTCAAACCAACGAAAGAATGATAGCTATAATTATAGTACCCAATATTAAAATAATTTGCTATCACTTTCAAATTGCAGACATAAATGTATTGAATCTTTAACAACACTCTGTGGCAGGAAGAACTGCTGTCATCATTCCCATATTCAGGGTCATATATTCATTCTCCAAATATTGGTGAAGCTCCCACCATGCACACAGCACTTGGCCAGGTGCTTTTACATGACTCCATTTAATCCTCACAGCAGTGATGTCAGGGATTATATCATCATTTTAGAGATGAGGAAACTGAGGCACAGAAAGGGCAAATGACTACTAAAGGGTCACATGTGAAGACGTGGCAGAAGTAAGGAGGAATCCAGAGCTCAGCACTCTGTTCCAGAGCCCTGCCCTTCCCACGGTGCTGGGATCCCCAGGACGTCTTCTAACATCCCTTCCCCAGGGACACCAACTCGGAAGATGGCATCACTGGTCTTTCAAAACACAAGACCAGAGGATGGAGCCAGTGTCAGCCTGGGCACTGAGAGTGAATGACAAGACATCAACGTCGCTCTGCTCCCTCCACTCATCCTCCTCTCTCAGGGTTGACCAGTACATAGACCAATTGTCCCACATCCTGTTCACAATCTTTGTCAAATTTGTGTGCCACCTGCGCTATTCTTTGTTCATTTATTTTCCTTAAAAGAATTCATGTTCTTACTTAAATATATTTATTTTAAAATGCAATTTCATGTCACTATGTAAATGGAAAACCACCACATGCCACAAATAAAAAGTAGAGTATAAGTCCTCCCACCGCCAGCCACTTTAAGGACCCATGCAGCAATGCTCTACACTCCCGCTGCATAATCTGCGCCTGGCTCCTAGGATGCCGAATGCCCAGGCTGGGGAAACAGCTTGATGCGCACAGGCCATCCTCAAGAGGTGAGTACTTCCTGCACTTTTGCCTTCTGACCTTTATGCTGAACCTGGTTATGCTGTACACTTGGTAATGCCCGTTATAAGTTTCACCGTAACAACATAATTTAATTTAATATCATGAAGCAACAGCGTGAAAATAGCTGTTTCTATGAAAACTAAATTGAATGCTCTGGAAAGGTGTGATAAAGACAAATCTCTTTAAATCTGGTGTTAAATTAGGTGTGGATAAGAAAACCCTAAAAGACTTGTGAGGAGGTTGTGTGAAATCAGAAAAATTCTGTACTCAGACCTCACAAATCTTGCTTCACTGATTGTGGGCAGTGCACTGCATTTGGGAGTGGTTTACAGATGAAAGATAACTTGGAGCTCTAGTTAGTGGGCTCATCCTGGAAGAAAAGATGGGCTGGACAGGATATATCCCAGCAGGTGAAAGGTGGAACAAAGCCATGGAGACCCTCTGGAGAGCATCTGAGCAAAGAGAAGGAAATTGCTGCTCAAACCCTCACAACAAAATTAGAATCAGTCACTAAGGCTTTCTCTGGGAAATCTTACTAGCGAGCACCTCCGCAACACTGGGAAAACTGCACAAACCTAGATGTGACCAAGAGAAACAATCACATACAAAGAAAGTATGCCACACTTGTATAGAAAAAAAGTCAGAATGATCACAGTTGCTGCCCACAGTGATGAGACTGGAGCCCGCACACTACAACTTTTCCTTATCGCCAAATCAGCAAACTC